ATCAATGGCACAAGAAAGAATGCACGTTAGTAAAAGGGAGCGATTACACCATGTGTGGGGGTTAAACGCACACGTAGATCAATTATAAAAATGAGAAGGAAATTCCTCGCACGCTTTCTCATATCTTTCTATACGTTCAAAGCTCCAGACGAAGGAAAAATTTTCTCAACCGTCGCCGAGTGGAGACAAAAACGACCCGAAAATAAACATACTCTGTCGCGATTGTCTCCGAGGCGCATCTTTTTATTGACGGCAGCCGCCGGAGGGAGGAATAAAAATTTTGAGCTGCTTTTTCAGCGGCAGTTTTGAAAACAATCGCCGGCTCGTGCGCCACACCGAGAAGATTATATTAATGCATGTTGTGTTTTTTTTTCGGCTTTATAATGGTGGAATTCTATTTCGAGCGTCTCGCGTTCTTAATTCTCTATCCGTCTTTTGCTCTTTTGTCTGCCGGATTAAAATAACGCGCACATAAAATAGAGTTATAGGCGAAGATGTTTCTCATAATGAAGACAGACGGAGCAACGCGGAGAGCGAGACGGGCATACCTGATATGCATGCGTGCCCCATTGTTTTTCGAAACGCGGGGAAACGCGTGGAAAGTCATCTTCTAAATTTAATGTATTTATCTTCGGGGGCGCCGCCACGCGTGCTCGCTTCTAATATAATGTCGCCGGCGAAGTGGTGCGCGCTTTGGATATATTCATTTTAATTGTTTTCATCGGCACAGCTGCAGACGACAAATAATCACGTCTCTGAAGACAAGATAGAAATTTTTCAAAATCTCTGGAATTTCCTGAGCCAGTACAACATTCAGAACTCTGTCTCCTCCTTTTAATTATGAGAGTCTTTATTGTTTTGTTACCAGAATAAATTTGATCTGCTAATTCTCTTGAAATATAGAAAAAAATTTGAAGTCAGGATGGAACGAAAAAAAATAATAATCATCAATTTTAACGATCATGGGTTGGAATTAGGGAGAAAAATTTAACAATTTGATTTTATTTAAAAATTAAATTATAAATTGTTAATTAATTTCTTTTTCCTGTCAAAATCATTACTCAACGTTCAGAAATTTGAATGAGCTAGTCATCTTATTCGAATCTTCAATTATTTAATTTTGCTTAATCCCCTTTAAAATTTAATAGTCTTGCACCCCTTAAATGAACCCTCAAATTGAACGAAATGGCAATACACGCCCGTGTCATCATCCTCTGATTCAAATTAAATTGCTCCGGCGAAATATAATCTATTTATTAATCAACCCCCAGCGCCGTGTCCGCCTTCCTGCAACGATGTAACGGCAACACACACTCAGATGTGTAGTCATATTCAATTCCCTTAAGAGCGGCGCATGGGGGTGCGTCTGGCATGCAAAGCGGAAAATAAAAGTTTAATGATTTTAACACTTCCCTTGGCGACACCCCCGCTCGGCTCTTGAACACATAATTCGCGTATAAAGAGAATAAGCGCGCTGAATATAATGCATGGGTGTGTGAGATTGCACTGGAGAGATATAGAGTGTATTGCATTGTAAAGAGCTGAGCTCTGCTTAATTCCCTATTGCAGGGAAATGGGCGGAAAATTGTTTTCGGTCACACGAGGGATGATGGATAATGCCATGAGTGGGTGGGAAATGCGAAGTGCTGAAAAAGGACACGGACTTTTATCTTGGTCTTGCTCCGAACATGGCAAATGATAATCTAAATGATCGTCAGATGTGTTCACTACTATAGAGTGGCAATTTTTCCACGAGAAAAGAGAGAAAATACAAAATAATAATGGAAAAATTCCCCTACCTTTGGCGAGCTGATGAGTGCGGTGACACTTCCGAGAGGTCGGCGAGGCGAGGAAATCCACTGTTCTGGCAAGACACGGATTTGATTGCTGATAATTTTACACGATTCACCGTTTTGTTTACTTCTCACAAGGAACTGAAGGAACGATGAAGTTTCTGGAGAATCTGGAGACTCTGGCGCTTGGGCAGCCAACGAAAGAAAAGGAAATGAGGGAGGGTTGGGAGGGAGCGCCATCATACCTGCATCCATCGGAATGTGTTAACCCATTTGCAATTTTACTCCCTCTTTCTCTTTACACAGTTTTCACTCGCTCTTGTGCCAAACGCGTCCTTGAAAGAAAGAATGTTGACTGTTGAGAAATATGAAACTTTTCATGAAATCTCAACAAATTGAGGCTGACAGAGAATTTTCTCAGCCAGCCGACCATGAATTACTGCACTCATAACCTACTCCCAGGTATGTGATTTTTTTTCTAATTGCAAGTAAAATAAATACTTTTTGCCAATATTATTTTATCCTTCTTTTTTCGCACACTAGAAGGTTAAGAAAATTTCTCTTGATCAAGATCCCATTTATAATAATGAAAGTCAAAGTTTTTTTTTTTAACGAGGAAAAAAATCATGGTGAAATTTGTTAGATTTCCAATTTTAAATCATTATTATGCTGTAAAAATTTTAATGGGCTGTAATTTAAAGCATTTAAATTCTTTCTCAAATAATGCATTTTAAGAAATTAATGACATTCAATCAAGGTTGTCTTTTCCTTATAACAACTTAAAAAAATTGATTTAAACCCTATACCTCATGATGCGTGTTTTAAAGTGATAAAAATTATTGATATAAAACTCTTAAAATAAACTCAAAACAATTGCATTCTTAATGTAAAGACCAATCAACTTGAAATCAAAAGATATTGATTATAAAGTAACATTATTTTAATTTATTAATTACAAATTTTTTTTCATGTATGACTTTAGTAGAATAAACAACAATAGTAATAAAAAAATATAATTTGGAAAACATTGTTTTCATTATTATAAAACTGATTTACAATGTTAATTTAAAAATAAATAATTTTCTGTAATTTTGCTAAATTTATTTATTTATTTTTTTTTAGCTAAAATTCAGTTGAGATTTAGATAACTTCTAGCTAGAAATTTTTCTTACATTTTATAACAATTACATAAATTGTGGAAAAATATGTACATATAACATAATCCAAGATGCGAATCTCAATATGATAAATAATCTATAAAAATAAACTAGATACAAAAAAAATCAGTCAATTAACTTTAAAAAAAATTTAAAAAAAACTTTTTACTTATATTCAGCCAAATATAATTATTTAATTATTGCTTCCTTCAAAATACAATTTATTAACAATGTAAGTTTGAAAATTACAACAATTTTTTATTTTATAAAATTTGGTTAGTGAATTGATCTTATAGTGGAGGTTATAGCTAATTTCTAGTTAAAGTGATTTTTTTAAATAATTTTTATAACAAGAAACTGATGGAAGCAAAACATGGGCACATAAAAAATATTTTTGACTTCAATAATTTATTTTTAATTACAATCTTAGCAAAACATTTTATTTTTTTAAATCATTTCCTGCTTATTTCTTAAATGTTTTAATGATTTTATCTGAAGCAAAATTGCAAATTTCATGCAAGCAGTCGTCACACACAGATGCATCTGCTAATTAACGACGGGATGCATGGGCTGCTCTGGCTCATATAACGCGAATCCATTGGTTTTCCTATTAATGCAAAACCACCCAGCTCGCACGAATATCTCATCACTTGCCTGCCCGCGCCGTCTATTTGCATTCGCCGCTTTAATTAAGCACAATGCGCTGTTTGCCGATAGAAACTCGGGCTGTCTATCTAGAGCGGGCCATCTTTGGTCTCCTCCACCTTGTACCATTCAACGCAGACATATCCGCGTCGATGATGATGACGATGATGGAGGCTCTGAATGATTCAAAGTAAGGATGTACATTCAGTACAGAGCCGCCGTGTTTGCGAGCTGGCATGGTTTGATGAGTTATGTATGCTTGATAAATCAAAGGCCCACCCAGCCATCTATATCCATCCATCCGCAGCCGCCGCCGCACCCGCGCGTGTGTTGCAATATGATGGATTCGCCCAGCAAAGGGATTAATATCGGCTACGCTCTCTCTCTCTCTATATATGTATATTCCATTGGCAGAGAGATTTGTATGTAAATGTGCGCGCGAATACATATTAGACGGGTATAGTGGGTGTTTGGTTGGCGCTTCATCTCCTTTTGCTTTGTGCACAGGTGCCGATATTAATGCTGGTGACATAAACAGCACAGCACCCCTTCGTGTTTGCAGCCTATGGCATCAGGCTTGAATTATATGGCTGGATCGGAGCGACCCTTCGGCGACCGATTATTCATCGAGCGCAGAATCTCATTTGCAGATTAATGAGAACGCGCTCGCCGGCTTAATCGCAGTGTTAATTGCGAGTGCCTTTGCATGCATGCCTTTCTGCTTCAGTTCAATTTTCGTTAATCAAATCTGCAATCGATAAACCAACATGAATATTTTTTTTATAAAATCAAATAGGAAATTTTCAGTTAAAATTTTTATTTTTATTAACACAGTGCAAAATGTGTAATTTTTAAATTAAAAATTAAAATGTACTTATTGGTTTTGCCGGGTTTTGAAAAAAAAAAACAAACAAACCATCTTATCAATTTTGTAATATATTAAATTTTTAAACGAGGAAAAACCATCAACCGCATTCAAAATATCGCAATAAGAAATTTAAAAAATATCAGATTCTATATTTTGTTGCTAATTTTAATATTTAATTGCGCCCTGGTTTATCAAAGGTGCATAATTATGATTCAATTTCATTCATAAGAATTAACACTCAAAGACAATAATGTTCAACAATGACATTGCGATCCTTAAATTGTTATTTTTAAATGGTATTGGTACTTCATATAATAGGTTCAATGCCTGTTAGCATTGTCGCTTATGAAAACAAAGTTAAAGTGCGTCGACCAACGCTGCGTCGCACGGACACAATCAAAAAGGTGACGTGTGCAAAAAATCATAACTCATATTTGGCTGCACGACCGTGAGTGTGCACTTGTGAAGAAGCGACGCAATTCTTTTTAAGATTAACGCATCCCACTATCGCGAATGGCAAGGTCAAATTATTTCGCGAGCGGATCTGCAGCCATTAGTGCTGATTGTGCCGCGGCATCGAGATGTGGTGGCTCCTTCCGCTCTGGCTGAACGTCGTTTTGGGCCTTCTGGGCACCTTCCTGGGCGTAGCTTATTACTTCCTGACCAGCGACTTTGACCACTGGAAGAAGAAGGGTGTCAAGTATGCCAAAGCTGTGCCCTTCTTTGGATCCCTCGTCCGGTCAATGACTCTGCAGGACCACCTTGTGAATGACCTGGATCGTATTTACAAGGATTTCCAGGGTGAAAACTTTGTCGGTTTTTTCCAGGGCCGAACAGCATCCATTCTAGTTAGAGACCCCGAGCTTATCAAGGAAATTCTTGTTAAGGACTTTTCGCACTTTTACAACCACGGATTCAAGGCGAGCATTATTTTTATTATACAATTAATATTCAATTAATTGATTTTATGGAAAAGATCCACGAGGAAGCAGACCCCATGCAGGCTAAGAGCCTCTTTAACCTGAATGATCATAAGTGGAAAGAAATGAGGAGCAAATTGTCCCCTACATTTACCTCGGGAAAAATTAAAATGATGACTCCTTTAATGGAGGAAGTCAGCCAGAATTTCATAGCTCATTTGGATAAAATATCAAAATCAGGGAAACCATTTGAAACAAAGGTTATATTATATTAAAATTTAAAATATTTGCGTCTTTTATATATTTAAGTGCATTTTATTGTAGGATCTGGTGTCTCGGTTCACGACCGATATCATATCAAGTTGTGCGTTTGGAGTGAAAAGCAATGCAATTGATGATCCCAACACTGAGTTCAGGGTCATGGGCAGAAAGCTGGTTGAGATGGATTTTTTCAAAGCTCTCAAGACCTTTGTTATTTTGTTTTTGCCAGAAGTAATATGATTGTTAATTAGTTTTTTTTAGAGAACCGTCCATTATTAACAATTTCAGGTTGGTATGTCACTTAGGCTAGCATTTACGGAAAAAGTTGTGGCCGACTTCTTCCGAAAATTGGTTCACGATGTGATGGAAGTAAGAAAGAAGACGAATTTAGTTCGGAAAGATTTTATGCACCTGCTAATCGAACTGAAAGATAAGGGATCGATTGCGAGTGAGGGCGCTGAGGACGAGAAAGAAATTAAGGAGTTAAATGGGTTTGGAACAACGATATCAACCAACACAATAAGTAACAAATATTTATTAATTGAAGATTGGTATAAATAATAACTATGTAAATTTTATTCAAATTTAGAGCTAACGCATGACGATCTGACAGCTCAAGCTTCAATATTTTTCTTTGCTGGCTTTGAAACTTCGTCGACTTTAATTTCGTTTGCTAGTTTGGAGCTTTCCGTGAACAAAGAGGCGCAAAAGAAACTTCAGGCTGACATTGATCAGGCCTTAAAAAATCACGGAGGAAAACTCTGTTATGATGCTTTGAAAGACATGAAATACTTAGATGCCGTCGTTCAAGGTAAAATATAATTAATTTTTTTTACCAGAATTTTATAGGTATTTAAAAACAAAATTACAGAAACTTTGCGCAAATATCCACCTGCAGTTAATATAATGCGAATCTGCACCAAAAACTACATCATACCGGGCACCAAAGTGCAAATTGATGAGGGAACGCCACTGATCATTCCAGCTTTTTCTTTGCAAAATGACCCAAAATACTTCCCGAACCCTGAGATGTTTGACCCTGAACGTTTTATGGACGAAGACGCGTTGCACAAGTATCAGTATTTGCACATGCCCTTTGGAGAGGGTCCCCGTATGTGTATTGGTAACGTTGAATTAAAATTTTATATACTATTTTATCTTATTTTTTTTTTACATAAGGCAATCGCTTTGCACTGGTCCAGTCAAAAATGGGAATCGCTTCTATTTTCAGCAAGTTTGACGTTTCTATAGCAAGCAAGACGAAATATCCACCGACTTTTGACAAGCAGTTGTTCATTTTAGCAGCTGAAGGTGGAATTTGGTTGAACGTGAATCCACGCAGGGAAGAATAGACTTCAGTGTATGGAGCAAAAAGCAGCATTCAAATAAATAAAAATTGTCATTTTGATGCAATATTAAAAATTGATTATTAATATATTTTAATTTCAAAGCAAAGATTTTTTATTTTCATTAATTTCAGTCCACTATTTCACTAATTAGAATCAATAATTTAAGTAATTAAATTATAAATAATTTAACATTTAAATCTTATAATTAGCAAAAAAAAAAAAAAAAAAATACAAGGTTAATATAAAGTCTATATAAGCACGCATCGAATCCACTTTTTGCTGGATAGATTGTGGAATTTCATTTGCGATTGATGGCCTCTCCAAAAGTTATAGCTCCACATTATGATAAAGTGCCGCCCTTTGCACGGAAAAAAGCTTTTCCAGGCGCAGTATATATTGCGGTAGCAAGGTGTGCGAGCCTTTTTATAAATAGGGCATCATCAGACCCTCAAGTGCGATATTTAAGTGGATGATCCAAATAGTTTTGATAAGCCCATCACGTTCCTATCATACGCCAATATCGCGCCCCTACTGCAGCTCGCTTTTCCCAGCAGGAGTGGAAAAATATACAGCCCTCGTAAGATGATATAGATTTTTGGGCCATCAGAAAATATCTAGAGCGCTCAGAGCCGCGTGCTATAAAATAATCATGTGCTTGCTGCTCATAACCTTTTGATTTATCGTGTACTCAACTTAATTGAACCTCCCTTGAGTTCAGTGTGTTGGAGAAGTGTTTGGATCAAGGTGATTATTTTATTAAATTTTAGATCAAACTCATTTAGTCACAAAAGTGGAAATTTACTGTGTTGAAAAAATTTACAGAGTTATAGTTACTGCATTTAATTTTATTTATAAATTATTCTAAAACCGTTATTTTTATTTTAAAATAAGGAAGAAAAATAATTATGGAAAATTTTATAGAGGAAAAATTTTTTACTTGTTATTAAAATGAAGCTCAGTTTTATATACCTTGTATTGATTTAATACAAAAATTAAAAAAAAAAATTAATAAATAAATAAATAGCAGTTCTTATTGACAAAAGATCCAATCACACTCAACCGGAGTTTTAATTAGCGTTCTATTTTTTTAATAGTCGTATTTTTTGCTAAAAATTTTTATTGACCTGTAGACCGCCAGCTAATTAATCCAGAAATTTCAGGACTCATTAGCTGGCGTTCTATTTTTTTTAATAGTCGTATTTTTTGCTAAAAATTTTTATTGACCTGTAGACCGCCAGCTAATTAATCCAGAAATTTCAGGACTCATTAGCTGGCGTTCTATTTTTTTTAATAGTCGTATTTTTTGCTAAAAATTTTTATTGACCTGTAGACCGCCAGCTATTTAATCCAGAAATTTCAGGACTCATTAGCTGGCGCTCTATATTTGGTATAGTCGTATTTTTTGGTCCAATTCTTTCTGTTCTCACATACCCCGCCCCAAGTTGAAGATATCAATATGAGATTTGCACCACTTGATCATCTTAGTTTCAAGGCAAGTCTCCTAAATTTTTATCAAAAAATTTTCAAAATTGCGGGTTTTATGGGACATTTTGAAAAAATCAAAAAACGCAATTATCTCGGCTTCTAGTGGTCGTAGAACAATTTTCCGGATATGGTTGAGCTCGTCTCAGCAAGTTCTACAACTTTTCTATAAAAAGCAAAATTGTAGGTCAAAGGTCAAGGTCAATTTTTGTGAGCGTAAATTTTCAAACTCAAAATTGAAAACCAGCCGACCATTTTAAATTAATTTTGAGATAGCCAAACGATTCCTCGTGAAATTTTACGTAATATATGTCGAAACTGCGATGAGGTTATTTTTTGTTAAATTTAAAAATAAATAAGAATATTAAAAAACATGGTTTTTTGCAACTCCGAAGGCAGGGTCAACATTATAATCACTTTTAACTTCGTCCCTGATGATTTTAGGTAAAAATAGATAATGACCAAAGTTGATCCCCACGTCAAGACCAATCGAATGATGTATATTTCAATGACCTTTGGTGACCTTCAGGCCAAAGGTCACCCAGGTCGGTGACCTGAGGTCACCTGACCTAGATTTATGATATGTTTTTGAAAAGGTCCTGTTGAGAAGATAATTTTGGTTACCACTTTTTGGTCTGTACCTTGACTACAAACCAAATGATTGTACTTTTGTTTAATTAAATGCACAATTTTTTGAGCAGTGAATTTGAAAAGTACAATTATTCGGCTTGTAGGCGAGGTAAAGACCAAATTATGGTAACTTAAATTATCTTCTTAACAAGACCTTTTCAAAAACATATCATACATCTAGGTCAGGTGACCTCAGGTCACCGACCTGGGTGACCTTTGACCTGAAGGTCATTAAAGGTCAATGACATATACATCATTCGATTGGTCTTGACGTGGGGATCAACTTTGGTCATTATCACTTCTTACCTAAAATCATCAGGGATGAAGTTAAAAGCGACTATAATGTTGACCATGCCTTCGGAGTTGCAAAAAACCATATTTTTTAATATTCTTATTTATTTTTAAATTTAACAAAAAATAACCTCATCTCAGTTTTGACATATATTACATAAAATTTCACGAGGAATCGTTTGGTAATCTCAAAATTAATTTAAAATGGTCGGCTGGTTTTCAATTTTGAACTTTAAAATTTGAAGGTCACCAAAGGTCATTGACCTATACATCATTCGATTGGTCTTGACGTGGGGATCAACTTTGGTCATTATCTATTTTTACCTAAAATCATCAGGGACGAAGTTAAAAGTGATTATAATGTTGACCCTGCCTTCGGAGTTGCAAAAAACCATGTTTTTTAATATTCTTATTTATTTTTAAATTTAACAAAAAATAACCTCATCGCAGTTTCGACATAAATTACGTAAAATTTCACGAGGAATCGTTTGGCTATCTCAAAATTAATTTAAAATGGTCGGCTGGTTTTCAATTTTGAGTTTGAAAATTTACGCTCACAAAAATTGACCTTGACCTTTGACCTACAATTTTGCTTTTTGTAGAAAAGTTGTAGAACTAGTTGAGACGAGCTCAACCATACCCGGAAAATTGTTCTACGACCACTAGAAGCCGAGATAATTGCGTTTTTTGATTTTTTCAAAATGTCCCATAAAACCCGCAATTTTGAAAATTTTTTGATAAAAATTTAGGAAACTTGCTTTGGAACTAAGATGATCAAGTGGTGTAAATCTCATATTGATATATTCAACTTGGGGCGGGGTATGTGAGAACAGAAAGAATTGGACTTTGCTAAAATTTTTTATTGACCTGTAGACCGCCAGCTAATTAATCCAGAAATATCAGGACTCTTTAGCTGGCGCTCTATATTTTTTGTAGTCGTAGCTGGTGCTCTAGTCCTTTGGTCTGAAAGCAATCCCAAAAGTAGTTTAACACTTTGGGAAAAACAGCAATCAGAATTATATCGTTTCCGCTTTTATCAGAATTCACCACTTGTGTGGCCAACTACTGACCCACAGAGCAGCAATCAAATATCGATATTGAGCTCCTTTTGCGAGAGGGAGAGAGATTCAGTCCTCTTGGCTTGGCTGAGCCGCAATATTGCCAGTGGCGAGATATAAAAGTCCGGTGGTGGCTTTTGAGTTCGCAACAGCGCTGCACGAGATCTGTAGCAATAATACACCCTAATTCCTACAAAGACGCTGGCCTGCGCCGCTGCCCAGCGTTGGTTTATCTTTTGTTGCCACAAAAGAACAAATCTGAGCCTGGGGATTATTTTTTATTTCAGAAATGAAAGGCAATTATATTGTATCAAAATCCTGCGGCAATAAAACTGATTTATCAGCGCAGACTTAGAGCCAACAAGGGTTGCAGCTTTCAGAAGAGAGGAGATCTGTTGGCTTTCCTTGAGTACTTGCGGAGTAAAAAAGGCTTTCCTTCGACTTTCTATTTCAGGATTAAATAACGTCTCCAGCGGTTACGTTCAAACTCAAACAATTTGTCTGATGCGTCATTGTTTCAAATAAACAAAACTCTTTTCTCTCATATTAAGAACAGAAAAAAATAAAGTACAGTTTAAAATAATTCATTTGATGCACAAGCTTAAAAATAATTTTTGTACATCTCTATTTTCTTTGCAAACGATTTTTGTCTAAATTCACCAGGATTTCAATCAGCAACAAAAAACGCAAGGCTCCCTTTTCCTGCTGTTTCCCTTTCAAATTTTCAGCAAATCTCATTCAATTTTCTCGGGGCAGCAGCAATGACCTTTTGCATTTATCAGATTGTATCTCTCCGCTGGCTGCACTGCATCTCATGGCGCGCCTTTGACATTTCATATACGTGCAGGGAGAAAAACGAGAAGGCGCGACACGCAGGAGAAAAAGCGAGCGAGAAGGAAAGAATATGGGCTAGGCTGGGTATGAATGTCGATAAATCACCGATCCCATTCTCCCCCTTTTGATATATTCTGATATATTTTGATATGAGAGAAAAAGTATAAGGGCGGCGGTGCTGGAAAAGTAGCTCTACTTCTCTTTTATCCCCGTCTAGAAACGGCGACGGGTGGAAAGAAAGTTTACCTTCTCTCTTCGTGCAGCGCGCCGTGCGAGTTATGCATCCCTCTTTGCACACACCAAAGAATCAACAAGGAAAATTGAATTGCTTTTCATTATTATCATCAAACGGAATCTCTGCCGTCGGATCAAATCTGTTTCCTACTTCGGCACAAAAAATATAGGCATGAATAAGGAACGTCATAATAACGAGGTTGAACCATGAGATATATATGTGATAAAATCTCGCCTCTTTCTTGTTTACTTGCCTTATGTTTTGGATAAAAAGAGGGTGGAATCGAGAGGGAGAATGAAATTTGGTTATTTTCGTATTTTACAGTTTTACAAGGAATACAGCAATATTGTGAATCTATTGTGAAAGAATTAGATCAAATTAATAATAAAAACAAAATTCATTTATTGTAATCAATTCCATCATCATTTATGTGTAGAAACACACACTAATTAAATCTTTATATACAAGAATTCAACAATAATTATTAAAAGTTGGATTTAAATTTAGATTTAAATGCACTCTAATGCTTTAATAATGAACTAATACACTGTTGCACTATTTTTATAAATTTTTTCA